AGCGTATGAGATATTTGTTACAGATATTCTGTAAGGTTACAGATCAATTTTTAAACGTAAAATAGTAGTACGGGCTGGAAACATTGAAATAATTTTTTTATAAATTATTCCATTAATTAACAAAAGCAAATTACCTTTCGTTAATCTTGTTAAATAAACTTTAAAGATTAGACGGATTCAAATAGCAAAGGAAAGACAAGGTCAACAATTTTATTTAATTTATTGAAATTTGACTGACCATACAACACTGTTTCGAGTATTGCCAAGTACTTATCATCAGTGATCTTAGAAAATATTCGAATTTCTTAATAAGTTTATTGTCCGTGTTTCCTAAGACCATTGACAATACTCGAAACGGCGTTGTATGGTCAGCCAAATTTCAATAAATTAACTAAACTTTTGTTGATGTCTTTTTTTTGATCTTTGAATCCTTCTAACTTTAATTAGTGCACATAGTTTAAATAGTTTCTTTTCGTCATAAAGATGCGTCACTCTTCACAAGAAAAAATTAACATAAATATACTTTGAAGATATTTTTTTATTGTGGTTTAAGTAGTTGAACAATTACTGGATATAAAAACTAACAGTTCGAAAGAGAATTATCATGTCCTCTTAACAAAATTAATTTAAATTTTTTGTATTGTCTTTTAGGGGGGCATTAAAGGTGTCATATGGACTGACGTACTACAAAGTCTTATTATGATTAGTTCCATTGCTTTTGTAGTTATAAAGGGTACCATGAATTTGGGTGGTTTAGGTGTTGTATATGAGAGAAATTTGGCATCTGATCGTTTAGTTGCACCAGAGTAAGTAAAATTGATATATAAAACAAATCATCTATAATAATTATATGCTTTATTGAGCAATTTAGAATGACATTCGACCCCACTGTGCGTATGAGTGTCCTCTCAGTTTTTGTTGGTGGCACTTTGTTTAAATTACAGGGAATTTGTATAAGTCAGCCAGCAGTGCAACGTTTTTTATCGCTGCCTAATTTGAAGGCAGTTAAGAAAACCTTAATTAGCTGTACTATAGGTCTTATAGGGCTCATAGCGCTATGTATTTATGCGGGTCTACTAACTTATGCTGCGTATTATGATTGCGATCCAATAACTACAAAGGTAATATTGGAATATATGATATTTTGTTTTTGTTATAGATATTTTATATACTTTCATAATTTTAAGCTGGCGCGTGCTAAGGATCAAGTTGTTCCATTATTTGTGATGCAAAATGTTGGCATGTATCCAGGCGTTACCGGACTTTTTGTATCAGGTGTTTTTAGTGCAGCTTTAAGTTCACTATCAACTTCATTAAATTCCATAGCTGGTGTGGTGTTAAAAGATTTTGTGGAACCGTTTCGTACGCAACCCTTAACTGAAAGACAGACAGCTATACTGTTGCGTGTCGTTGTGATGTGTTTTGGGCTACTATCACTGGCAATGGTAAGTGTGGTGGAAAAATTAGGTATGGTTATGCAGTTATCAGCCACAGTAGGCTCAATGTCAGCTGGGCCCTTGTTAGGCATATTTACAGTAGGCATGCTGTTGCCTTTTGTTAATACCAAAGTAAGTGTAATTAATATAATTATTTATAAGACTTAATTGAATCGTTTGAAAATTTTTCAGAGTGTGCTTACTGGTTGTTTAGTAGCAGTTAGTATCACTGGCTATATAGTTGTACGGGCACAAGTCGCTTTTGCAGCCGGAGAGGTTATATTCCCTACGAAACCAGTATCTGTGGATGGTTGTACTTATGAGTTCGATAGAAATCTATTATTAAATGCTAATCTAAATGGGTATATTTTGATTAATATATAAATCAGGTTCATGAATATTTGAAATAAATTTTTATAATAATTTTCAGCACCACTCCTAAGAAACTTGACAGTCTGCATAATGTATCCTTTTTATGGTATACTACAATTGGCTCCACATTAACCATTCTTATTTCATTAATAGCAACACTATTTTTTGGATCACAAGACACTAGTCAGGTGGATCCTATTTTAGTAGTTCCATTTGTACGTAAGTTCATGAAACCTTCAAAATATACGAGTATGACTGCTGGTGGTATTTGTAAAAAAGATAAATACATGAATATGGATTTGAAAGAAATAAAAACGAAATTGGCACAGAGCACAGATTGAGCGTACAACAAACCTGCAAACTGTATTGTCAGGATATTTTGTATATATAAAGTTGAAATACTTTAAAGTTGTATGACACACATCAGTGTAATATGTTAAATTTACAATTAAAAAGGCTTAAAAGATAATATAAGTGATTTAATTTAAAAATAAAATATATTAATTAATTAGTATAATATAATTGCAAATGGTTCAGATTATTTTCCATACATCAAACTGGCGTTATATGCCTGTCACTGACATTTTTGAATTTTTATTTGGAACAAAAATATATTTCATTTCATCGCCTATTTACCATAGCATTTTTTTTAATTTTAATCTTTTTTTTTATTAAAAAAAACATCAATATATTGAAAAAATATTATATAGAATAAATCAATATAAATAAACATCATAAATGCGTTTCATAAAAATAGACATGTAATAGTTTTTCGAAATTTTAACCATAAAATTGATGCAAATTTTTAGTTCGGCTCTTTTGACACATTAACATAAGATAAAAAATAAGAAAGGCAATTCTGATCTCAAACGAAATTTTTTCCAAATATACTAATAAATACAATCATAATGTATAACTGCTGCAATTACATGTGTTATACACCATCTTGCTACAATGAGAGCAGTATCTGCGAGCATGGACCTTGCGTACCAAGTAAATGTTGCATTCCAAGCATTAGGACAGTATACATGGAACGGGAGTTTAGAGTTGGCAGCGCTGAATATGATCTTTTAGGGCATAAATTTGCATCACCAAAATCTCAGTATAAAAGGATAACGAAAAATGGAAGTAAAAGCGAAGCATGTGAAGTATGTAAAAGTATTTTTGAAGTATTTTTGATTTCTAGTACCGTCATCACTGACATTTTATTTTCATAACGAATAGGAAACATGTGGAAAAGCAATATCTGATAAAGTGAAAATGATAATGGATAGTAAGTTTAATATGCATAAAATATTTCTGCTTGGGTTTTGGGTCATTGTTGCTAGAAGTACATTAATTATTATAACAATATAGATCATTCGTTATTGGAGACGAATACTTAAAATTGATAGAAGATTTTGATAGTAGAAAAGAAATATAATTGGGGACAACCTTATTAAGCTCTTTAGAGGCATATATTAATGATGAATTATAACTTTTATTAGTTTGTTCCGTAGTGTTAAAAATGCTTAGGTTTGGGGTCATTGTTTCTAGAAGTACAGCGTTTATTATAATAATATAGATTATTGATTTGCACAAAATTAATATCACAACTGTTCACTAGCACATTGTTTTTATGTAGCAATTTAAAAATAAAATATAGTGTTTTATACATACTTCAAAAAATATATTATGCAGATCCAATAACATTTTGATGCTCATATTTATAAAACTTAATATATTTATATCTACATACTTCTTAATATACTTAATATAATTCACAGAGCTGGATTCAATGGAAAATAATTTACTTGCTCAGTTTGAAGCTATAAGTAGTCGCTTGGGTATAATTGAAAGTTCTTTGGAGAAAGATAGTGACAGTTTGGACAATGTACTTGGTGCATTTGATAATATAACTCGTGCTAGTGGAGTTAGTACACGGTCTACCATAAGTGGTCGTAGAAGTACTAGATTTAGTCGCCCCAGTATTCGCTCTTCTATAAATAGTCGAAGGAGTAGTAGATTTAGAAGTTCTAGATTCGGTAAAGATGAAATGTTGGAGAACAAAAGCACTGAAACAAGTGATGACAATTTAAGTGATGACAGTGTTGAGTTATTATCTAAAATTAATTTTGCCAATGCAAGTATAAGTATCAATGTCGATTCACAAACAGATCTTAAAGACTTCGCTAGAGATGCCAAAGTACCACAATTTACGGCCTTTTACCCATCAAAATTCGTACATATTCCACTTAATGATATGGTAGTTGTAAAGGATAAAGGTGAAATAAAAATAAAAGTAAATGTTGGTGAACAACGTGATGATGAAGAAAAAGGTGAATCAGAAGATGAGAGTAAAACTCATCATCTTTAATACTTGATGTAATAATTAGCATGAATTTTATGGTAAATTCTATCATGTATTATAAACTATTACAAGTTTTTCCTAAAGAAGGCTAGTGGTACTCACAGTCTGGAGTGAGAAGCTCAGTAATTGATTAATATAGAAACAGCAACAAAAATAATTTCTGTCAGTAAAACTAAATCAGTAATAATTGACCGTGTTTCTATGTAACTTAGTTACAGAGATCGTTACTAGAATACTAGATTGTGAATACCTCTTGTATATTTAGGAAAAATTGAAGTATTTTTGAATCGATAATATTTAAAATGTATTTATTTAAAATATTGAGTTTTTTTTAATAATAATTACATTGACCCATATTCAGTAAAGCCGATTTTCTTATTATTGGTTACATTTATGTATATATGGTAAGTAAAGTACATTAAAATGTGCTGCATTTGACGCAAATATAGTCTGTATAAATTTGAGTCCCTTCACATATATGCTCCAAAATATATAAGTAATTACTTCAAAATAATTGAAAACCTTAATATGGCCTTAATGATTTGGCAATAGTGACGATAGCTAAAAAAGGGAAAGGGAAAGGAAAAGTCTCATTTCAGTCTGTACAAAAATAAATCTATAAAAAGCCTATTTTACAAGTTTTTTTTATTAACTTTTTTATAAGCTTAAAAGCCATGGTTGTAGGTTATCCTTGTTACAATTGGTTATTTCTGAAGTTAGCCTCTATAACAATAATAATAACAAAGCAAGACTATTTTAGAACAAATTTATTACAGTGCTAATTTACTTTTTCGTTATACGAAAGATATTCATAAGTAATGGTATTCACAATCAATAACCAAGTAACATAGTAAAAGTGCAAAGCGGCAACAACAAAATATGTGTATTGTTACACTGATGATATGTTAACAAATTCCTTACTCGAAATCGTGAATGCCACTATAATATTTTGTCCTTGAAAGTTGAAAAATACAACAACGTAATTGTTTATAATGATTAATAAGAAATGTTTCGTGCCAATATTTTTTTAGTTATATGTACTAAACGCATAGCTGTGCAAAATCAATTTCATTACAAATTACATTACATACACAGAGTAATTATAATGGGTAATTGAGTTATTGGACTACTGTAATTACATTAAAAGCCTAATTGCAGGCTTTTACAGGGTAAATGTAATTATTATTACATGTGTGATTATAATTCGGTTAAAAAACTAAGTTATGAATTATAAGTAATTTGCAAAAATAATTGATGGAAGAAGCATCGATTGTTTTGGATTTTATGTCTTCGCTTTTAAGTCGTCTTTGCATTTAGTTTGCTCTCTCTAATTCGTAGTCTTTTGTTGGGTTGATTGTTGTTGCTTTTTGCATTTCACTGAAACAGAGAAACATTTCATTAGCACATCAAAGCAGATCAAAAGACAAACCAAATTTTTCCTTTGTAGGCAAATCGAAATATGAATATGAATCGGCATTCATATATATCCCGGTATAACAAACTACTCGACTAAAAAGACTACCTTAAACCCGTATGATGCTATGGGGCTTTGAGATGCGGTGTGGAAATTTTAAATCCAAACAGAAATGAAAAGCGGTTTAAAATTACATATGCAACAGGTTACAACCAACACAAGTTGCGAAGCATTACCACTTGTGAAACTCAGATATTTATTTAGGAGTTTGAAGAGGATAAAGCCGTTTGATAAAATTAATCATCCCTTCATCAAGTTTTTTTTGTTAATAAAATAAACTAATCATTAAGAATTGAAGAGTTTATTATAAATTTATTATTTCGTTATTTATAAAAGAAAACAATTTTTCTATAAATTGTACAATATTATATAATAATTACGTCATTTAAGGTAAACATAACTAAATATTTTATTTAAGATATATAAGGTTAGCCGGTCACGGAACACGATCGTCCTGATAGATTTGTGAAGATAATCAATTTGAGTTCTTTAAGACAGCTATTTTCTACATTACTAAAGACATGTGTGCCAATAGAAAATTTAAAGAGATAGTTCATTTTACTCTTAGGGAAGAAATTTAGCACTTTAAAACTGGTAGCCCGAAAGAATTTAAGTTGAATTTTTAAATGAGAGAAACCGGAGACGCCGGAGAGAAACAAATATACCCGATTTTTCATACTTTCTGTACTTATCACCGCAAGTAATACATAAGTATGTTCTAATTAGAGATTGAAATTTATCAAAGAATAAGTTATAATATTATTTGTCATACGTTTAGTGCTGTTGATATTATTCCGATATTTTAGAAACCGAAGTTATTCGATTATTAGATTAATCGGATAGCAACGAAGTCTCCGGAGTGGAAAAAAAATCGGATATTTTGTAAATACAGACTCTTTGAATATCCGGATTAGCGCTTATTATACGTAGTGAAATTATTGCGGAATTCGTGGTGTGGTGCACTATAAATTTCTTCCGAACGGTCAAACGGTAAAACGGTCAATAAGGAAGATTATTTTGCCGTTATACGTCGTTTGCGTGAGGCCATTCGCAAAAGGAGGCCAGATTTATGGAAGGAAAACTCATGCATTTTACACCACGATAACGCAGCGGCTCACACAGCGTTGGTTGTGTCGCAGTTTTTAGTCAAAAACTTCACCAATATCGTCAACCAAGCACCGTACTCTCCAGATATTTCCCAGTGTGACTTTTTCCTCTTCCCTCGACTCAAATTGCCATTGCGAGGAACGCGTTTTGAGACCATAGAGGTCATAAAAGAGAATTCGCTGCATGAACTAAAGGCCATATCTTCGGCGGCCTATAAAATTTGTATGGAAAATTGGATCAAGTGTTGGCATGCATATATTGCCGCAGGAGGAGAGTACTTTGAAGGCGATAATAAAGAAAATTATTAGAAATCAAAATTTTTGCCATTTTTTAACTTTTCGTTCTTTTTTGATCAAATGGTATTATACAGATTGTTAAATAATATTTATTTAGGTTTGTTGAGATCTTGCGTTATAAACTTAAAATTTATTTTAAATATCTAATTTAGTCTTTAATATTTGTTATAATAATAAAAAAAGTTTAAAATAACATGGATAATAATGTTGTTATAGTATTCCATTTGATAGTAGAATTATCTATAAATTTTTGTTTTACATTAAATATAGAACTTGTAATAAAAAAATGTATCAAAATTTAATATTTTGATAATTTTCATTTTTCTTCTTAGATTCTTTATAGTTTAACTTTTTTAAACATAGTTTTTTTTGAAATTAACTGTCAAAATATTGGAGTTTCATTTTTACAAAATGAAATCGTACTATATATTGTTTATTTTTGGTATCGAACTTTTGATTTGTTGAATAAATTTTGCATATCTATATTAACAATCGGTAATTTTGAGATCAATCACTACTAAAAGTATTTCGATATACTTATTCAAAATTGACTATAAATCTAGTGGTAAAATTTAAATATGTATGGCTGCTGTTATCCTGTTTTTAATGATTATCCATGTTTTCCGGATCGATGCTGCAATATATTGCCGCCAAATTGCACACCATGCATGCCATGCCCTACGTTTCCACCAATTATTAAAAAGGAAAAGGTACCTGATTTTGAAAAAGAATTGGAGTTGAAAAAACTTTTAGCTGCTAAGTGTAAGGAATCAAGAAGCTCAAAAAAAACAAAATCGAAAGGAAAGTCCCGAACGAGCTGCAAGTGCGGCCAAGCAGCACAAACGTCACAAGCGTCACTTCCGAGTTGCCCAAAAAATTGCGGAATATGCAATTGTTCAAAGGAAAAAGTTACTGGTCAAGAAAGAAAAAGAATGGCTCCTATTAGTGAAGAAGATGAAGAGTGCAGATGCGATGAACCGACAAATCCTTTGCAAGATTCAATGGCAAATTTTCTCACTATAATAAATGAATCTGTCTGTGAGACAGTTCAGGTGTGCCTTTTTATTTTAAAAGTTTATAAATAATTTAATTTTTCTTTTTATATTATTGATGTTATATGGATTGCATAATACAGAAATGCATAGATTCAATGCTTTCTGATTTCTTTGATCAAACGCTAGAAAGATTAAATGGGCTATGTACACAAATGGTACGGAATGAATGTTTAATTAGTAAACTTTACTTGGACGCAATGGACAGTAAGTGATGATAAAAATTTAAAGCATTTTCTAATAATTAATTATACAATCCAATATTTTAAAATATATAAACAAACTTACTGCAAGTAATAAATTATTTATAGGATTTTCGAGAATGGAAGAAAGAAATTGTGAGCAAATGAAAGCCATGTGTGATGCTGTATCTGAAAATATGTTACAGCGTGAAAGTATGTCAGACCGTCAAGAGCCAGCGCCAAAAAGAAATTCTTTTCCTAATAGAAGTGAAGAGAGTAGACCTAGTTTAACGCAAGAAAGTATAAAGAAAACTTGTCGGAAAGCGTCAAGACAGAGCAAAGAACCACAAAGATCTCGGTCGAGTAGACAGCAAAATTTCATAATATCACCAAGAAAAACTTCCGAATCGAATAATTTAGAAACCGAATATCCACAAAATTTGTCAAAATGTGGATGCGATCAGGATAGGTCGGCCAGGATGGATTTTGCTACTAGCACACAATCTACAATGAAATCTCAGGTTCGGTCTTGTAACGATAATAATTGTCCGTACAGATCACAAAATTCAAATCATAGTACCTGCAGTTGTGCGGAGTCTACGAATCGAGACAGAAGTGCTAGGCAAAATGAATTGTTACTAAAATATCGAAAATTATCCAACTGTCAAAACATATGATATTCATAACTGCATGTTAGATAATTTACATACTATATACATACTTAACTGAAGTTGAAACTTTTAAAGCCAAATAATATGTAAGTGAAGTTAGCACATGGACTACAAACTTAAACGTATGTTAAAGTATTAACAGTATTAACTGTCAAAATAACTTTTTTGAATTGCAAAATTTTGGTTGAATTTTAGATAATAGTTTCCTAAGAAGAAGAAATTGCTATCTAATATTCATCAAAAATTTTGCAATGTTTGAAAAGTAAAACACGTCGATCACATAAATTATATTTGCACAAATGTAATACATTAAATGCATATTATAAAAGTTTATAGTTGGCTAAATGTAAACGCTTGTAATTTAAAAATTGTAAATAGTAAAAAATAAATTCATTCTAACTTGTTCGGAATTCAAGGAAAACAAACAATAGTGCTATCCTTTTATTTTTTCTCCGGTATCTCGTTAATATATAATATTTAGGATGTTTTTAACTGCATGAGGACTATCAATATCGATAACTATGTTCTGACTGCTGCGAATGTCAAATTTTGTTGACATGTCTGTTCAGTAAGGTTTGGCAATTCATCATGAATCGTTTAACGCTAGAACAATGCTTCCAAATTGTGGAAATTTACTTGGAAAAAACTAAATCTGTTTTGCGGTCAACATAATCGGTCTAGTGATTATATGTCATTAAGAAAAATTACGGTATATACAGCGAAGATAATCCTTAATCATGCCGTTAACGAATCACCATAACATCCATCAAAATTGTTTGGTGCGGTTTACACGCTGGCGGCATCATCGGTCGTTATTTCTTTTGAAATGACGGAACAACCGTTACGGTGAATAGCGAGCGCTATCGAACCATGCTGACTAATTTTTGTCAACAATTTCTACAAATTAATTAGTTAAATATTGAAGACAAGATGGCGCAAGTTTCCATACAGCGCGATGGTTCTGTTAACTGGCCGCCTCATTTGTGCGATTTAACGTCACCCGTTTACCTTTTATGGGGCTATGTTATTATTGGTTTATGCCGACAAACCAGCAACTCTTAAAGCATTGGAAAATGTATGCTACTATTGATCGAATGGACCATGTAACTCGTAGCCGCGGTGGACATATGCCAGAAAATATATTCAAAAAATAAATGTCATGATATTCAGGCCTATTCTGAATCGCAAGGGAATGGGAGTTTATTCCCTGTTCCCAATTCCCCTATTCTGAATAAATTTGGTATGTTCCCTGTTCCCAATTCCCCTATTCTGAATCGCATGCGAATGGGAGTTTTTTCCCAATTTTGCACAAATTCTCTCCCTACCAAATTGTTAGGGAGACAAGTTAAAAAAGTATTAAAAATGGTTTAATTTAATATAAAATTAACTGAAAATGATCAGATTTTTGAATATATTTTAATAAAATTATTATTATAATAAAATTATTACAATAAATTTAATATTTTCAAAGTTTTTTTTTTGATTAGTTTTCCGAATATATTTTAATAAATTTAATATAACAAAATTTTCATTTAATATATTTTATTAAAATTATTATTTTAATAAAAGTATAACAAATTTGAAATATTTAAATTTTTATTTATTTATTTTATTCACACGGGTTTTTTCCACTAATTAAAGTGTTAACTATTGTTTTTAAAACAATAGAAAAATGAAAGGAAACCAAATTCTGAAATAAATGGATTCCTAGAATAAGTTAAAATAAACTGCAATTTTGTGCAGGTAAAACATTGCTTTTTTTTTATTGTAAGATCTGCACAGGTATAAACTATTATTAGTTCATTAATTGAAGCATAAAGGACATTTCTATCCTAATTATATAAAAAAAGTAAATTATCATTTACTCAAATTTTATATAAAAGCAGTGAATGTTTGAAAATAAAGACATTGCAGAATTGATATCATAACGTAAGGTTTTTTTTAATTAGTTAAAAATTTAGAAAAGAGTTAAATTTAACATTTAAGTAACCAATAATAATAAATTTTTCAAATATATTTTAATGTGATATTTAATGTCTGATGTCTGATAAGCTCCTTCAGCAAAGAAACGCAAACAAGCGCACAATTTCACAATTGGAGCAACTGCAAACTGCTTCTTTGCTGGTTGTAGTTCCTCAGTAAGTTCCTCTAACAGGTAAATAAATGCTGGTTTATTTACTCTGTAATATTTTTGAAATCTATAATGAAAAAAAGTTTATTTTAAAACCAAATTAAATTTACATTTGTACTTACAAGAAATTAGGCAGCTCAAGTGGATTTGCTGCGTCTCTCAAGTTTCTCCGATTGATCCTCTGTTTCAAAATTTCTTGCTCATGTTCTTGAGCCAAATCCTCCGCTAATATTCGAAATGCAATTGAATGCATTTTTAAAGTTTTTAAAAATTTTTTATATAAATAAACACCAACAACTGCACAATTCTTTTTATATGTTTATTTTTCTCATTAAAATAAAAGTTTTTCATTAATCACTTATAAAATTATTTATATTTATTTCTAATAATTTGTGCAGCAAACAAATAATGCGATTTTAACATTTAAATCAACATATGATACGCAACTGTTTTTTTGTTTTGCTCATTTTCTCACTTTTCGTCATTAAAAAGTGGCATGGTTGCCAAAATTTAACAAAACAAATTTGAAATTGTTGTTGTTCACGAAACTGCTGTCTCCCTAGCGATTCAGAATAAGGGAGCTGTGTGTTCGGGAACAGCGTGGGAATAGGGAGTTTTTTCGCTGGGAGTATTCAGAATAGGCCTGATTATCTACTAGATAATAAAAAAAATTTCATTCCAACAATATTTTTGTCTTGAATTATTATTATAAGTTCTTATGCAGCTAAAAAACACCCTATATATTATCAATAAATAATTTGTTACTAAAATTTGAAATAGCGTTGTTGTTGTTATTGCTACCACACTCTGTTAAATGTCATAATATTGTATGTTGTATGTGGATAATGCAGAATCGTCTACTTCTAACCTTTTAGTGCATATTTGTGATGCCGTTGTTTGTTTTAAAAACAGAAAGAAGGTTCTAAATCATTTGCGAACTTAAAACCAAACTATATTATATATGTATATATATACATGTGTATCATATATATTATATATGAACGTAATTCGTATTTGTGATTTGGTTTAGTTGTTTATATCATGCTAAAAAGTGAGCGGAATATTAATAGAAAGAATATTAATTCCTAATGTTTAGCCATTCAGGTCAGTGTTCGTCAGCCTTACAAAAGGGTTAAAAGCCACTCATATCTACATCTGTACAGATAATCAAGCATCAATTAGCATGTTAACCTTTTAGAATATTTTTCAGAAATTCTGGTAGATCGCTATGATATGCCAAAAAAACTGGCAAGTGAAAACCTACGCTATGGCATGCGTTCTTACGTGAGAGACACTTCGAAAGGCAAAGTGTTTTTTGGGGTCAATATACTCAGTAAGTGACAGCTGTTCAATTATTGCCAAATAGCCATCATAATTGGTCTTAAGAAATAAATCTTTAGTTTATTAGTCCTTTTTTTATGAACTGTGCTAAGCAAGTGCAAGGCTTAGAAGTTTGAATCTGTTGAAATTTTGAAGTAATTTCACGCTCGCTTGATAACTGAAAATGCCAACTATATTAGTTCGGAAATTGAATTAATTATATATAAAGATTTTTGTTGCAATTCATTACTGTCTAATAAAAAAATAACTAAATAAATAAATTTCGACAAGTGGAGTAATAGATTAATACCAATGGCGAAATACTAATTGCATTTAAATAAAGCAATGAATAATGGCGAAATGCTAATTGTATTTAAATAGAGCAATGAATAAAGTATGAAGATCTGATAGATATATTAAATGGCTTTAAAGTAGAATTGCAACAGTTTCACAAAACTTTATAGAACTTATATGTTTAAGTCAGAAATTATGATAGATATATATATAACTGATGGAATTAGCGGTGGTTTGGTGCTAAATAATCCGCGTCCGTTAAGAAGCGGACTGTCCGTGATATCTATCATCCAAGGAGTGTACAAAGGAATGGTTTCAATTTCTGTTCAAATATTTTTTCAGTGGTCCATTTAATACAATCTTTAAATAGACAGATACATGCAATAGCAAGCTTCCTTACTATGGTTTCGAATTCTAAAAAGCTGCTATTCTTTGCCGTTTGATTGTTGCTATTGTTTTGCGTTCAGGATTAATTAAACATTACTGAAAACTATTTCCGTTTTCTATAGTAGACATGATGCAACCTAAAATAGTCTTTTATGAATTTGTCAGCGCCTTCCCTCATTGTGCTGAGCTATGTTTGATTGCGTTAAGTACGAAACATTGTTCCTGTTTTGGCAAATGGAATTTCAATTAAGCTTTTAACATCACCCAGAAATACTTGTGAACCGTTTTGGTATCGTATTCAGGTTGCAGAAGTTGCCAGCTCAATTGAGTATTGAACGAATTTAAGGAATTTATAATTAAAATTAAGTTCAATTAAATTCTACGTCGTCTAAGGAAATTAAGTATTTATTGCAATATTTAGTATATACTATTTCATTTTATACATGAAATGGTAAAAAATTGTGGTTACATTGAATAATTTTCCATTACAATAATGAAAATATATCTTTTATTCTTTATAATTCTAAGAAATTATATATTTTAAGCAAAGATTTATTTTATTCATTTCTCTATATTTTCAACAGCTGTGGGTCATACAGCCAGAAGGAAAATATCACTACTTGAAACTCTGCAGATAATGTTTATCACACCTCAGTTTCCGTTGTCAAAGCTCTATATTATATCAATTCTAGATTCTTAGCCCAAAAGATAGGGTTTGCCTACTTAAAATTTTTGCCAACCAATACTTATTATGAAAAGGGACAATGGTATTTTATGATATCTATGGTGTTATTTTTTCAGAGGGTTTCTTATACTTACCTGGACACTTTAACGTTATTAAAACCTAATAATATTACTTTGAACAGCTTTCTTTCAGTTCAATATGATCCAAATAGTGGAAACAGTATTGTGTAAGTGTTTAAAATGATCGGAAGTTCTACTCGACGTTTTACAGGTTCTTCATATCTCGATGTCCTTTAGTCTCACCTTTGATAATGGTATTTAAAATGAAGAGTTTCTTGTTAAAATACTAGTGATCTTTTAAAAATTATATATAGTACAACACTATAGTACAATCTATCATTCACCATCTTTCGCATTAAGAATATTTTCACTCTCAATAAGAGAAGTGCTTAAAAACTTTTACTTTTAATGATGACATAAACATTTTTTTTTGTTTATTTTTTAACATAATCTCTTTCCATAACTTGGATATAGTTCCTAATATTCCTACCATTTTAATGCTTAAAACAATGTGTTGTGTTAAGATATTATAAATATGTGATTATGGTGGATATTACTTCTCTATTTTATGAAAATTTGTGCTTTCTGAACTCAATTATTAGCTTTGAAAACCGTGTCTAGACACAAATTATTAGGCTTTTTTCTCTGCAAATGAAGACAATTTTGGTAATTAAAAGTTTTTGTTAGGAAAGTTAGAAATTGTGTTTGATCCAAGGTGATGTCAATATCAGCATATAAACTCTTAGCTAATGCTTTGATTTTTGTTAGAGGACAAGATTATTTTATGCATCTTTTCGATATTTTCGTCAGTGGCGACTTTTTAGTAATCCAGAATAGACCGATCAGAGTTATATGATCACTTTTGAAATCAACCAAACACGTTTTTACGGTTAGAGATAATGACGCTGAACCCTGATTATTATGCATTAATAATCAATTTTTTTCTTCAGATATTTGATCATGCAAAAATTTGACCACCCGTTTCATAAAGTCACTAGTTGAAAAATATTAGAAAAAAATTGGTTAAAAATAAAACGGTTTTCGCTTTTTCGATTAATTATCGAGAAAGTGAATTGAATAATGGGATCAGTTTAAGCAAATCGTGACCATTCATAACACCATCAACTATAGAGCTGTTTTAAATTTTTTGCGGTAAATTGTTTAAAAAAAGATACTTGATACTTTATGTGCTTCGTCAACTTAGTAGTAAAAAATTTACTAGCATTTTTTTATTTTGAGAATTATTGTGGGAAAGAAAAGTAATCGATTAATACTTAAATCAAATGGTTACAGCTGAGGATGAGAAGATTCTCTTATCTGTTATAGGAAAAATTCTACTCCTGTAAATAAAGCAGTTAAAGCAAGGAAAAAGAAGAAAGATGTTATATTTTATTATTATAACATTAGGTCACATACGCTGGCGTACCTGTGCGAGCTTTTGGGTTCCACCCAAAATTTGGTTGATGGTGGCGAATAATTAAGCAATGTTTGCATTAATTTTCGTAGAATTTACTTTTTTAATTAAAATTTTGTCGAACTCAATACATTTTTTTACAACTTTATGCATATTTTAAAATATTTATTTATTTTTCTCTTCTTCTTCTTATTTGGCACTACTGTGAAGCTTGGCCTCCCTCACGATCTGTCTCCATCTGTTCCGATTTATATTTTTTATTTTATATTATTTCCTTACTCCTTGTCAAAAAGTCGGTAAGACTCTGTTTTAATTTAAACAAGAACTTCATTTCTATTTAAATTGGACTAGTTTGATTTTTATTCTGCATAACTTCAAATCCTGTCATAATCGAATGGATATCAATCTCATTTAAACTTACTTCGGTAGCACATTTTTTTTTAGAATAATAAAGTTAATTTATAAAGTTTTGTATATTAAAAAAATGTAATCAACAGTTTTGATTCTTAAAACAAAGAATTGAAGTGAGTATTTAGCTCGGCACTGTCAACTTCAGTGTTTTAAAAATACAACAAAAAACAAAAGTAAATTAACGCAACCTCAAAGTGTTTAAAATTCTATACTTCTTCAAAAGTATATTTACAATAATTTACTCCACAGTCAGCTTTTTAAGACGGACCCACATTAATTTAGCCACTGCATTCATTGGTGGATTTATGTGTTCATTATTAGAGTCATCAAAATAATATTAAAATTAATGAAGCCACAAAAACTTTGTTTATTCATTAGACTTTTGCGTTTAAGCCCACTTATTGGTGGGAGATTAGATCTGATAATGTGAAGTAAAAGCAGTTTGACTGTCTCTTATTATGAATAATTAAGGCATCCAACCGAAACTTTACGAAGTTTATCTGAAGTTTAAATTTAATGATAAAAGCCTAAAAAGAAATGTTTCAATTTTATTACGTTTTTCTACTGCGGATGGAAGTTAATATCATTAACATTTTTGTTGTAGATTAGAAATGAAATAGAACAAAATGGGGCATGATTTATATTTAGAAAAAAATTTTCTAACTACATAATTTAGAGTAGTAATGTTTTCTTTTTAAACCGAAATAATTACTTATGATTTGTATACAAATTAATGAAAAATATTTAAATCATGACGATAAATATGCATTTATAGTTTTAAAATAAATATGACAGAAAGTTTTGAAAAATATGTAAAGAATAAAAGAAAATAATATGTGACATAATAAGGCCACACAGAAGTCATGTACTTGAAACTATTTAAAATACATTTATCTCAAAATTTATTGCAAATTAAAGGTTTCATATTTTTTCTGATGTTGAAACATAAGTAGAGTAATCTAAACTCTTCACGATGTGGATAAAAAGTACCACAGAAGAGAGCAACTGGCTATGGAAATGTCTTTATGTTGGCAAATTAATACCTATATCAGACTAAATGAACCAAATGTTATTATTACATGAATATGAGATTTTTATATTATTTACATTTAAATAAATGTACAGTTTTCATAGAGTCAATTATTTTCGCTATTTACCTTGAAACTAGTGTATGCAGTTTTTTAGGCATTAATGGTCAATATTAACAATATTTGATTGTTCTTGTCTCACTAAGCGTCTCCCCTATGGGTAAGGGATTAGAATATTCCCGAGGTAAGACATGCCTGTTGTAAGAGGCTACTAAAATCTTGGCACCATTCCGACTCTGTAGTAGTGGGAATGGTACTTAGTGAGATTCATTTGCGGCACCAAACCGGAGGTATGAATCTGGTTCCATGATGATCAGACCCTGCAGCTTCGTCTGTACTGACCAATTGAGGTTGACAGTGTCGTGGTGCTTAATACCCAAACTTACGCGGGTGGAGTTATTGTATTTTACTTTCATATGGTGTGGAGTTCCGTATTCATACGGTCTGCAGTAACCCAATTTTAGCAGAGGTTCAATGGGGCTCGCTTCTTACCAAGGGGAAAGTTATGACAAACACATAATTTTAATTGGTTTCGACCGCATTCCTTGAAATTCTATTGGGACGTTTATTGGCGCATTATCTTGAGTCGTGTGTTTTTTGGAATACAGAAGTTTTGAGCCTTTAGGCAGGTAACCATTCTAAATAACACTGGATTTTGTCTCACTAAGCGCTTACCATCTTAAAATAGTTTAGGGAGGACAAAAAATTGTTTTATACATTCAATGTCTAACTTTTCAATTTCTATTATTTTTTTTAAACTCTATTTGACTACACGTTATTTCTTCGGGAAGAAAGCAGAAACAATTTAGCCTGTATCAATAAATTAACTAACTAAACCTTTCTCATGTAGTTCAAAACTTAACAATAGGATTTATAGCGGTGCTTTTCTAAGAACGTAATGATAACTGAACTGAAGCATTTATAATTTATTTGACAATTGAATTACTTATTTGCAATAAAAAATATATCAGAAATACTAATCTTTCTCCAAAGTTCATCGCTTTCTCATCACAACAGTTAACATAGTTAACATAGTCTCAAAAAATTAATTACAAACAGATGCAAATAAACAATTAATAAATAATTTCCAATAAATAAGGAAACTATATATACATGTTATATACATATATTAAATACATATTTTTAATTCATCTTAGTTAAAAAGATATATACTCGTATTAGTTGATTTATAAAAACTAGTAAAAATATGTACCTTTAGTGCTCGAATATCTTTGGGGCTTCAAATGCAGTGAAAGTAAATAGATTGTTAAACTATTAGAAATAAAAGGAAAAATATATAGTTTATTCCTTTTATATTTGAGTAGCTATTTTTATTATCTAAAAATAAATTTAATTTTTTTTATAAAGAATGAATGAGTCTCTGATGGTCTTCATTTGTATTTGGTAGGATTTTGTTACGTTAACTAATCAAATTAGCTAAACTAGTTCATTTATTGTAAGCAAATTTATGCTGTAGTCTATGCACATTAATTAATTTTGGCTCCTTCTATTTTTATACTTTCTGTTGCCAGTCAGAATGCTTCTGGTTCATCATTGAACATTTGAGCCTTCGTCCTTGTACTATTTTGATATGTACTCGTATCTATGCAAATAAAACTAAATGTATAATTTTCTCCATATTTCTGTTTACTTTATTTCAGATAGTTTTTTTTCAAGTAAATTATAAATGTTTTTAGCTTAGAATAAAATAAAATTCAGAATAAACTCTGTTTTAGTTAATTTTGTTATTATTTTTTAGGACACGTTTCACAACAACTGTTTTACATAAATTAGTATATTTTGTAGAATACGATTTGTATTCATATATAAATAAATTAATACGTATATTATTAAGTTTATTTTTAAATGTGCGTATATGAGTATATGCATGTACTATATACACAAATCTTTATATATAGATATATATATATATATATATATAAATGTATGTACATAAAAATTCAATTTTTTATATATTAGATATTTATATATTAATTTTTGTTTTCATTTAATATTGAGATCTGTTGAGTAAATGTTATTAGATAAAGTTAGCCTCTACTTTGGTAAATAAGTTGCTTTCCCATAAAATATTTGGGTTCACAGAATGCATATTATATACACTATATGTAAATAGCTTAAAGAAGTAACATTATTTTTTATCTTACATGCTTAAATATTTATTTTTAATATTTAAAATATTAAACAAATAAATTTTATTTAATAAAATGAGCAATAAATATGTTTTCAGTCTAAAAAAAAAATTTTTATATCTGCATTAATATATTACATACATATTATAGCAAAGCTTTGAGTTAATCTTAAGCATTAATATTTATTATAGATAAAAGCACAGTGACATATGTACGTATTTAATTTTTAGTTAATTTTTTAAAATATAATTTTGCTTTATTTTTAATACAATATATGTTACCAGTATATACTCGTGTATGCGTATATATGTGTGGCGAAAATTCGTAAGTTCTTTTGCAGTATTTTATTGTCTGGGCTGAGTAAAAAATTTTATACATTTTATAAGAATTTGTAGCCAAAAGTTCAGAAAAGTATTTACTTTGTACAATAAATTTAATTTAAAAATTTTTTCCTTAAACTAAATTAACATTTATTTGCTTATTGCTACTATGTGGCATCGAAATACTTGGCTGCATTCGTTTTGGTTATCATACCTCCGATATGGCTAAAGCATCTTTGGGTCGTTCACAGATAACCACACGTGCTGCTTTATTGGAACGTTTCGATACTGTAAGCGAGGTGGTCAGCGTACGCATGGAATCACAGCTGTTATGTAGGCGACGTCCAGTTGTCTTGCAACGTGCTTGTGTGGAATTATTACGATAGGATTTACAGCAGCAAGTAAGCCACTTAAAAGGTGGATAACGACTGAGGATAATAATAATAATAATAACAATAGATAAATAAATTCATAACACTGTTAAGAATAATTGAAATGAATAAATTTTAATAAAAGCATAAGTGACTTACCTTAAGGTACGAAATACTTGAGAGGAGAAGAGACAATAAATTAAAGGATTTGCAGCGGAATTAAGTGGTGCTAAACTTTGTATGAATGTGGCGATTGCTATGTTGGTTTGTGTTTGCGGAATTTGTCCAAATACTTGTAGTAAATCGAATACTATATAAGGTGACCAACAAACTATAAATACTATAACAATCACAAAAGTCATCTTGACTGTCTTGACTTTGGCACGAGGTATAATGCCGCGTGAACTAGCACGTCTTGTAGCTGGGTTCCCGTAACCTGTAGAATTTAAAGTTAATTATTAATAAAAAAATTATGAATTTCAATTGAAATCTGTAAAAATTTTAATATACAACTCCAGTATTATCACTAAAAATTATTTAGTACTCGCGAAAAATGATCTATCATACTACAACGGAAGTCTTTCGCCAAACAATGAAAACATAGTGGATAATCTGTGAAAATGGTTTCATTGTTTTTCGATATATACTCCATGATAAGCAATGCATTCTTGCATTCGATTGAAATAACTTTCGACCCAGTTTTACCACTCTGATGTTGGTGTCTCCAAAACCAGGGTTGTGAATATCTTAACGGCCTTTTCGGGCGTAGAATAATGCTCGCCACGCATTTTTCTAAATATTTGGCAACAAGAAAGAATCATTGGGTGCCAAGTTGGGAATGTAAGTAGGATGATTAATCAATTTGACCTTTTGAGTGTGGAAAAACTCTTTTATTTGATTGTTGCGTGGGAGCTCGAACTGTTGTGGTGGCGGATGATCTTCCTTTAGCGGTTGGTTTTTCTGAATTTTCCGAAGACTTTCAGCAAGCTAATGGTTGTGTACCACTCAGCATTGACCGTTCTATGTTGCTCAAGTGGTATAGTTGCGACATGACCGATCCAAGCGGCCATTTGCTTGGATTTATTCGGTCCGCTAACAATTTTGTTGGGAACTACTCGCTTTTGAAGATTTAAACAGTAGACTGCTGTTTTCAAGCTTATAGGCGTAAATTCATGATTTATCACTTGTCACGATGTCGTAGACGAATTTTGAGCTACCATGGCCGTATTCTTCCTTGCACCAATCAACACGTGCCTTCTTTATGCAATTGTTATAAGGGGAATCCATAGCTAAATGTATATATTAAATTAAATGCTTAAGGGTGGCTCTATCTTTCGGTACATAACGTGCTTATCCATTTCAATTATTTTGCATCGATGTTTTCTGGTAAAACAGCCGATCTTGGATAACCTTCACGAAATTCGTCGTGGAGAAAACGACGACCACGCTCAAACTCATTGAACCATCACTTTACTGTAACTAAATGTCGAATTATGTTGATTGATGCATTTTTTTCTGGTTAATCCGCGCGGAAAATCGTAAAAAATTACGTACCAAAATATTTATTATATGATTTTATTATTCGCAAAGACACCATTTAGAATCGATGTGATCGAATAGATCACTAAAACGTGTAAAGCGTTAAACTAGAACGTTGTTATAACGTTTTGACAGATACGGTGACGTGACAATAATGTCAAAATTCATCATGATGCATTGCACATAGGCGCAAGACATTAGAGACATAATGAATTACTATTATACGATTTTTGTGGTGTCATGTAAAGTCAGAAAATATTCCATATTTTAAGGAATTTAAAGAAATAAGTGAAAATATAAGTAAAAATAAGTAAAATAAAAATGTTTTAAAATTAAATCAGGCAAATATTAGGTCTCATTAATATATATCCTCATACATTTATTCGAAAAGCGATGTACTTTTGCAAAACTTTTGATGCTAAAAACTACCTTCATACTTTATAAATTTATGGTTACTTTGAGTGTAATTATAAATATTGAAAAATATTTCATTGTTTTTTTATTTTTAAGCACATTGAGCTTCGTTTAATTACCTGTCGGTACGAATACGGAACCCTTAGCCCATATTGTTTTAACTATAATGGCATAACAAGCTGATATAATTAATGCTGGAAATGCAAATAAAGTTGCTGAGACTAGACTCATATAAATTTGCCACGCAGTTGGAGAGCCTAAATCAATCCAACATTGTGTTTGACCCTGTATAAGTTTCTCTTCATAAAGCAGTAGTATTGGTAATGAAAATATAGCCGATGTAATCCAAGCACCGGCAACAAGATGTCGAGCACGCTTCCCTGAAAAATTCAAATATTCATTTATTATATTAAATAACAAAGTTAATTTATTGTGTTTCAAATAACATAATTTCGAAATTTAAAAAGCTTTAACATTTATTAATTTTAAACAGTCGTTTTTTTTTGTGTTTTACTTTTAAATTATCATATATTTCAAAAGACATTTTTTCTTATTGCTTGGCTACTTTTATTAGCTTTTAATAAGTACTATCCATTTTTATTATATTTATTTTACATTTTGAAATTTAATTTTATTTTCTTTGATTCACCAAAAAGCTTTATTAAAAATTAATGTTTTTATTGCATATTTTTCATTTTTAGTGTTTGGTGTGTTTTTTGTTTTTGTTTTTATTTCACACTTACATGACTTGGAAAAGTTCATTGGATGTGTTATGGCATCATATCTATCAATGCTCATGGCCACTAACACATACGTTGAGGAATAGGTGACACACACCTGTGAGAAGCGTATGACCTTACAAGCAATATTTCCAGCTCGCCAGGATATTGTTATACGCCATATAATGTCTGTCAACACATTTAATAAACCAACACAGAGATCTATACGCAATAGACAAGAGAAAGAACAATACATTTTATATCTTTACAAACTTTACAAACATATAGAAACGTATATTTGTATATAGTATCTACAAAGTACAAACGTTTAACTGTACAGGGATCAATAAATATATTTGTATGTAAACATGTTCGATGTAAAATTGTTGTAATAATGGACATGATTTCGGGAGTTGCTCTCTAAAGTAATTACACCCAGAAGGTGCACGTGTTTAGTATTAAATTATTTTATATAAAAGCAAGTGTTTTAAAGTGTTAAAATTTATGAAATACAATACACGGAAATACGGTCATATCAGTTCAAAACACTACAAACATGCTTATCGTCATATGATAGAGCTATAAAGACAACTTAAAAACTGGAACGAATTTTGTGTGCTATATACCATAGTACTGATCTGAGTCATACTTAATTTAAAATAATTCTATAGTTTTGTTTCTATAGATTGTTTCTATAGAATTTATATAACAGCTATGTTATGCTTATTGATTTCGCAGTGTTAATATTATTATATCTATTTGTTCAAATTATGGTATTTCAAATAATAGACACATAGAAACCATAGAATCCTTTAGATGAAGTAGAAAAAAATGTGTTTTAAATTTAAATATATTTTAGATTTGTGAATCGTTCTATTCGGTAGAGTAAAAAGTTAGTCAGCAGTCCAGCAAAGTAAAGCTGTAGAAAATAAGTACTTTAGGAAAATAGTTGGTAAAAAAATATGAAGGAATAGAAACAAAACAAATATAGTGGAGAACCGGTTAATGGTTTGGTGATGTGTCAAGAATGCTGTAATCAAGAATGTCAAACACGTACTGGAATACTTAAAGAAAGAAGACCTGGTGGACTCTTAATGCCAATATTTGAGTGTGACTTTTCAAAGATAGTGAGAAGAAGAAGAAAGGCGACATTTGAAACAAAAAGAATGGCGCAGAACCATCACGATTGGCAATGATTTTGCAAATCCCACTTCACATTAAAACTGCAATGAAGGCGTTTGATAAGGATGAAGAAGCAAGACGTTCTATATTTCAAATAGATTTCTAAAATAGTAATAACTGTATTTAAGATAAAATTTTTATGAAATTTTAATTTAAATTTTAAATTCTGATTAATTAGTTAATAATTCTAAATTTCAAAAAAAAAAATTTCATTATAATTATAGAAATAATAACCTTGCTATTTTAATTTAAAAAAGGATTGCTGAAATATTAAGAATAATGTTAAAACTAAAATATCACATAGGAGTTCGGTTTTAAATATACATAATAGGAGTGATTAATTAAAGTAAAAAAGTGATGATTTTTTCTTAAAAATTTTAGGCAATTACTATTATTGAAATGGCAAATTTAAATTATTCGGAATGTACATTTTTGAAAATAAGAGGAAAGTCATTTTGCGACTCTTCTACTTATCTCTTTAAAAATTCATGTAAGTGAAAACAATACTCTTCACTGTTATTCTCTGTTCTAAAACATCTGATACTGATACTGCTAAAACATCTGATACTGCTAACATATCTAAAAAGTGCCTAGATCAGCTACTCAATAATCAAGGGTAAATGATAAATAACAGAGATAGTCAGTCTCACAAGTTACTAAGAAGTGGCCTTATTGTTATACCATAGTTTTAGGGGACGTTTAGGTCAATGCTGAGAAAAAATGGTATCGTTTTAATAAAATCGGCTATTAGAGGTTTCAGTTGATTTATTGGAGACATAGTTTTAAAAGCCAGACTATTAAGTGTACACGGCCTTGAGGTCACAATTTCAACAATTATCTTTGAAACCATCTCTAACCAAAAAATATATATCCTAAAATGATTACTGTAGAAGCTGTTGGGTAGACTTCAGCTGTTTGTGGGCTTAAAATGGATATGTCTGCTCAGTGTTAAAACTGAAAATATCTGCCTAGGTATAAAACTGGGCATTATTGATTTTAAGTTCAAAAGTCCAATTTAAGAGCATATCCATATCTACATAGATTCAACCAATTTTTTTGCGCGAAACGAACGAACAGTGATATATAATGACAAGTTTTAAATTATAGATACACAGGCTATATCGTTTAGAGATATTATATATTAGAAAAATTACAAAACAACAATTTTCTTAAATTTCATTCAACCTAGGTGTTAGATTGGACTTTACTCTATATTGTGATCTATTTAGTAGCGCTTGTATTTCACTAATAATGCTGACTCCATTTATACACTAAAGGTTTTATTATTTTTGATATTGAACTCACCTGCCAGTGCCAATTGCTTTATAAAGTAGTTCATACGCGATTTTCGATTTTTATTCATGAACATCACAAAGAGCACAGCAGAGTTGCCAAGTACAATTACAGTAAAGAGTATCCACAGCACAGCAAATTGTTCGGTCTGAAATTGAGAATGAAAGGATAAGCTCATACATAAAGACAAGTAGGTAAACAAAATCAATTATGCGCCAGAAAATTTAATATTATAATTTTTAATTTATAAATTTGTTACATAAAAATCAGCAAAATTTTTGAAAGTGGTTTCCGCTATTTCCTGTTTTGCGTTAAAAATATCCTCGAAAACCTAATATATTTTTTATTTTTAACTGTAAAAAACGAGATATTCATATGTATCAGTTGCAGTTTGTTAAAAATTACCATGTTACCATGTTTTCATATTTTTCAGATCTCATTTTTACTTTTAAAATATTTGTCCCGGGAAAAAGACCTACAGTATCTTCACAACAATAATTTGGCAAGTATTCCTCCGCGCATAATGCAACCGCAAATAGCAATCGGCAAAGACTACGCCAGGAGAAAAGAAGATTTTTTGTCAAAACTGCTTAAATTAGCTTTCTTTTTTTACATAATGAAACAGACTCTAATTTGTAGATGTTCCACTACTTTGCGGTATAAAAAAAATAGGACTTAGTTATGTGACAGAAGCATATTTATTAATCCGACAGAACTCTTATTTAGTAATGGTCTTAATATTTTTTAAGACCATAACATGTTCTTTATATTAAAAAATAAAGAATCTACTGGTGTAAGCTTTATTCAGTTAAATTAATATTACAAATTATGAGAGATATAATACAGGATATTAATAACAAGTAAAAAGAAATTTTATATTAAATAGAAACAAATATATAATTTCTAAATCTAAAATCATTTCAAATAATTGGTTTTCACTATTAATCGGGATATTATATATTAATGCGGTATAAGACGTTTAGATGGTTCCATTTTCGCAAGAAACGTTCCTTTCATTTGAAAATTTAGGCGAAAGATTTGTCACTTTCCTTTTCTTGAGCGTAGATTTTACAAAGTTTAGCATAATCTATATTTTACCAAGAAGCCACGATGCTTTGCTTACTTTTGACTTTTAGCAGAACTGACTCATAACATTCTATCATGGTCTAAGATTCGAGAGATAATGAATATTTAGCAGGATTTTTATTTATTTTCACTGCCTATTAATGATCATAAAAGTTGTCATCAAATAACTTATTTGTCTTTTACCGCAGAAATGTTAATAAACATTAGTCGTTAATTGGAGAAAAAACATAGAATTTCAATGTTTCTGATTAGAGATTAATTGATTTTGATAAGTGGCTTTACGGAAAAGCTTCTGCCTTTTAAAAAATGTTGTTGGAATATTCGCAACATGTTAATTGCTCAAATAATTTTAACATCTTTACTTATCATAGTTATCATAATTATCATTAATAATTACTTAAGATTTAATAAAGATTAATAGCGATAATCTTTTTTTACATATATTTTTCTAAATTTTTCTGTAAACATTTTTCAAGCTCTGTTATGTTAATAACATTAAACAGATTCTTTTATTTAGATTGTTTTTGCAACTGTTGCTGCCTTTAGAAATCGAAATGTCATCCATAACGAGGTTATTTAGTGTGTGAAGAGATATTTCTGTTTGCAATCTCATTCCATATTAGTGACCTTATTTAATTGAAACAACAGCAATTTTTATTATTAAAAATAGAGAATAACATGATTTATAATAAATTTCAATATACGAGTATCTGTACATAACAAACTTTATTTTATGTGATTAATAATTATTATGTCTGTATTAATGGTATTAGCATTAAAAAATTGTTTTTTCAAAACTGATTCATTTAAATTTTTCACGCTTTAAAAGTGTATAAATCATTTCATCGGCATACGTTTTGCAAATGGCGTAACCTACAATAAATTCATCAGCCGGAAAAAGAAAATATGCCAAAATATATTTTATGTTCCCATTTTTTGTATCTTTTTGTTTCCAATTTATTGGCGGTTTTTGCATTTTTTATGCCGTTGGCGCGCAAATGAGCTGCCATAAAAAACTAAACTGCTCTGTTTTTAAATTTACTACACAGCATGGAATAACGCATCCTTATGATATACATTTTCATTATTTTCCTTTTTTGTATGAAAATTAAATGATAATAAAAAAGTAAACTAAATAAATTGGCACATCAAATGAAAAATGGTAATGGCGGGCGGAAATAAAAAAAATTCGCAATAATTCAACAGCGGCGAATACTGATGGACGTGTTAGCTGATTTATGCATGAAAGTTTCATTTAATTTTCATGAATTTAAAAATGAAAAAATGAAATATTAAACAAAAGAAAAATACAACGCAATGATATCTAAAATTTTTCATGTGTTTCAAATTTGAAATGAATTAATGGGTTCAGAGGCACTGCAGTCTACAAAGTAAGTTGGAATGAGCAACAAAATTAAGATAAATTCGAATAAACAGATATTGAAATGAAAATTAATACTAAAGTTTTGACATATTGTTTTACGACTATATACGACTATTTACGACTCTTATACAGCGCATTTATATTTAAGAGATAAGTATATATAAACACATATGATTATAAGACATGACGTATAAACATATCAGCTATACAAATAGCAGCCTGACACGCCTTTGCAGCATAGATTTATGCTAGCAATTTTTTACGAATTTCTTTTTTCTTCGCTTGAAGCTATACTATTTATCTTTTGCTCAAGTTTTCTAAGAAACATTTTTATTTACTAAAATTCGTATATCCTAGAGTTTTTATTAGAATTCATATAAAATTTTTGTCATTTTCAAGTTGATGTCATTTAAATCTCTTTATATGTTTTTGTTTATACAACAGATTTGAGAAGAAGATCCTTTTAGTACTTCCGGTTTGAAGCTTACGACTATTTTTATAGTATTTGTACAACACTGTTTACGAGTTTCTTGTTATTTTCATGATATAGTGAATTTATCCGGAATGTATTATATTTATTTCTTTTTAAATTATACTAGTTAATACTCGTATAAAGTGGATATGAAGCCTTTTCTACAATAATAACAATAGAGTTTTATTTAAAGTATTTCAAATTGAATTTTCTATTTGATGTAACCCGATTCAAATTAAACTTTATTATAAGAGTATTATATGTTATTGAAAACATATTTTCTCAATCTTACGAGCGATAAGTAATTGAACGAATTAATAGATTGCGGTGTATAGTATAAGTTTTTAATAAGTGCAGAGCATATTTTCATATATTTATATTTTCTAAAAAAACAACGGAAGCAGAATACTGAAAGTCCATTTAAAAGTTATTCAAGTTTAAAAGTAAAAAGTTACTATCTAACTCTAAAATACATTAGGTACCATAAACTTATTTTAAACTTTTTAGGAGTATTTTGGGATACATCTATACAAATGGGCTATCTGGCACATTACATTTTATCAAAAAAAATAGATGATACTTAAATCAACAGATTTCTATTGCTTGGCCTCATTTTATAGCAATTTCTACAATGAAAACTTTTGACCACCAAAACTGTAATTAAACTTATATGCATATCTGATATTTTATTATGGAAATCCACAACAAAATCAAATGTAAAAGTTCACAGTTCCAATTAAAACTGTTACGTATAGTAACACATGTTCCATGATATGTCATGAACGACTGATTGGACTAGGACTTAAAAGTCAACACCGTACAAGAAGAAGTCTATTGGCATAATGAGAGATATTTAAGTTTTATTGATAGTCACTCAATTCAATTTTAAACAATCCATTTAACGTACTTTAATAACAAACTTAAAAACAAATTATAGTATTGCGTAAGAATGCTTTGAAACAATAGAGCTGTAGCACTGGCAGTCCCACTTCGGTCAAAACGGTAATCTTATGTAATACTTTTTAAAAGAAAAAATTGTTTTATTTTTTAAATAAAAATTTTAAAAAATAAAACAAAAAAAAAATACCGCCAACTGATCTATTGGATAGTCTTGTCAGGTAAGAATGATGTACTTATACGTTGGCAATCAATTTCAATCCAATATTTTTTCTTTGAATCGTATGTTTTTTTCAATTTTTTTCTTTAATCGGAGTTATTTTCCATACTAGAGATGTGAATCCATTTGATGATTCATGATAAATTATAATATTACAATCCCAGTTAACATACATTTTATCTTCTTTGCGACCAATACTGATTGTTATATGTATGGAGACACATTTTTTCTTTACAAACACCTGATTTTATAATTTATACAAGCTTATGTCAACGCGTCAAAAACAAAGTTAAATTTTTTTAATAAATATTTCATATTCTCGATGAAATTTTCTTAACTACTTCTTAAGAGAAAGTTACAGTATATTCAATGTCTTTTAACACAATAGTATCGTACATTCATCATCCGTTTTTATAAGTTCTTACTGAATCGACTACATTTTATTTCAACAGCTATTCGCTAATAGAACATCAATCATTATTTTTTTTTCAGTCAATTTACGAGCTACTCGACCATTCAGTATCTCTAATAAAAAATTAAAATTGATTTTACCATTCTAAACCTTATTCACACTTTCTAGGACCTTTTCGGTGATAGGCCGGTCATGAGGTATCTGTGGTTAAAACAGATTAGTAGTTGATCTAAAGCTTTGATGTGACTCATCACACGAAAATCCTTTTAAATTTTATCCACTATTTCCGCGATTTCATTGCTTTATGCATGATAGAGACTGTTCACATGCCAATTATTCGTAATTACTCCGCTTTCTCGCAGATAGGTTGGTCAGAAGGAGAAAAAGTTCTGAAACGAGTGTGAGCAAACCACTTCCTTACAATTAATTACGATAGGGTATGATCGATATAAACAGTATTAACGGAAGAATTGTAAATTATACTGCATATTATTTAAAATTTTACATATCCTAAAAGAGAACTTATTAGACGAAATCTGAGTAGAGTTTTATTGTCCGTCAAATTCAAATATAGTTTTTATACATCAAATCCTTTTTGCTTTATCCTATATTATAAGAATCACAATGACATTTCTAGTTTACATTACTTATGGTAAATTAACTCAATTGCTTAAACA